TGCAGCATGAGAGCTGGCAACAAATCCAGCTTGCTCACAATCCCAGCAAAAGTCTGCAGAGTTTTGCTGGGATTGTGAGCAGAGTTTTGCTGGGATTGTTTCAAAGTGTTGTTAAACACTTTAAATCAGTGTTTTAAAGTGTTTAACAGCACTTTAAAACAGACCAGCTCCCAGGAGGAACAGAACCCAGTGCAGGGCCAGAGACCCATCAGTAGCTGGGAACCCTGTGCTGTCCCATCATCCATCAATCCCAACACTGACTTACCCCCATTCTTCTTCCTTTGCTCCTCTTCAGCTTCCTTCTGAATCTCATGAATTATCTTCTCATCATCTTCCTAGAAATCAAGGAATACCAAGAATCAGTGGGATAATTCCTGCTGCAGCAGCTTTCTGTTCTCTCAATGCTGCTTTTCTTTTCAGCACATTTTCACAGGGAAAACCAAAAGAGAGACTAATTTGAATGAATTGTCCTTGTTTGGAGCTGGCCTAGATTTACCCAAAAGCAAAGCTGTGATGGGGGAATTGCAGCAGCACAAATAACCTGCACTCCATGGAGTATGACCAAGATGCTTGGATCAGCTTTCCAGGGAGATCAGCACTAAAATTCATTGACTTGATGGAAACCAGAGAACTGCGACCCAGCTCCACCCCTCTGAAGAGCTGTTAATCTTTTTAATGGCAATAGTCTATTAAATATTTACATTATCCTAGCACTTGTAGAGTTTTTGGCCCAACAGCTGGAATTAACACAACTTAAATCCTGGCTCTAGTAGCTAAATGGTGCCATTTAGATCTTATCTGTAACTCTGAGAAGGGCATAAATCGAAATATGTTTCTTTAATGTCTGTCTAGAGGTTATAGCAAGAATATTCAGGGCTGCTGCTCACTGAGAAGACAAGAACAAGCCAGAAATTGAATTTGTCCTTCAGTTCTCTTAACTCAAAGGAGCATCAGTGAGATCCAAGGAGGCAATGAAGATTCAGGTGAGTTTCTGCATGTCTGTGGGGATGAAACCAAACCTGGAGATTTCAGGAGAGCAGCCAAACCTCCAGGACAGTGTTTGGAACCCTGAGCCCCAAGTACTCCACAAAGCACAAGACTCTGCTTGTTTTAGCCACCCTAATTTCAGTACTGCCAAAACACATACATTTCTTCCTCAACACTCTTAATGTGAAAAATACCCCTTATTTTGAAGAGTGCTCTGGAACTAAACCCAAAATATGCTTCGTGCATGCAGCTACACTGAGATGATTTTAAGCCTCCCAGTCCCCAGCTGACAGTCCTGCACATGTACAGCCTGGGAAGCTTGTGGAGAAATCCCCTCCTCCACCACCAGATAAGGTTTCCCTGGGAGACCAAAGTTATCTTAATGTGCAGAAAGCCAAAAACTCAATACTTCCCTCCCTTTTATTATTCTGTGAATCAATGGTAAAAAATTAAGACTTTCCAGGACATGCTTTTTATTTTTCCCTTTCCCAAGCAGGCTGCTTGCATGGGCTGTTAATTACAGCCTATCTATCTCCACAAAAGCTGCTGAAGAATGGCTCTTCTGAGCCTATATGGAATGCATAACTACCCCCCAAGTATCAGTATTCCTGGCTGGAAACCATCTGGGCATGCTCCACAGGCAACCAAACATCCCCTTGCTCTTTAGCTGCCCCAGCAGCACTCTCAAAGCTTGGTTGCAAGCTTTAAGACTTGATTCTTTTTTTCCTTCTCAAATTGTATTTTGCAATGCTGTTGAAAATGGACACAGCCACCACTCCCATTTTCTTGCAACTTACTGGAGAAGATGCACCTCAAGGTTTATGTGACAAGAAATATATTTTAAACTCAGCTGAGCAAGATCACCCAGCATCTCCTTTCCTCACACAAAGCATAAATCTTACCTTAAAGCCTAGAAATGTGCCCTTTAACTTAACAAAATGCTTTTATTAAGTCTGTGATTACAGAGTAAACTCTTCCCTGGGAGGATGGGGAGGACCTGGCACAGGGTGCCCAGAGAAGCTGTGGCTGCCCCTGGATCCCTGGAAGTGTCCAAGGCCAGGTTAGATGGGGCTTGAGGCAACCTGGGATAGGGGAAGGTGTCCCTGCCATGGCAGGGGTGGAACTGGATGAGCTTTAAGGTCCTTTCCAACGAAAATCTATGATGAATCCTGTGAAGTGGTGCTTCCCAGGGACATCTCCTTCCTGTCACCACCCCTGACGCTGCAGCTCCGCTCAGTCCTGGACACATCAAAGACAACTTTACCAGAACCTTCTGCAGCAGAGCTGCTCCAGCCCCCCAGTTTAAACTGCAGCTGACCTCTCTCCACTGGGGCTGGACACATCCATCTGCCCCGGGGCTGGAGCCAGCTGCACTCCCCCAGGGTGCTGCTGGATTTGATTACTGCAGCTCCCTGAGCGTGGGGAGCAGGGAACAGCAAACCCCATCTGCCAGACCTCCAAACCGACCCCCAGAGCCCCCCAGGAACACATAAAACACATCCCCCAAAGTGCAGCAGCCACAGACCCCACTCAGCTCCATCCCCTCGGGGGCTGCAAGAGGGGCAGAGCTCACAGCACACCCTGGATGCAAAAACCTGCCAGGAACAGACCTGGATCAGGATGATCAGTTCCTGACTACTTCTGAAACCACAAATCACAGCAGAGCCACAACAAACCACATCTCCAAGAACAGAATTTATCAGCCCTGTTGCTTCTCTGCTGATAAAAATGTATTTTCCCACTGGAAGGTTAAGAAGTGCTTACACTTAATCTCACATACCAAGACTTAGCTTGGAATTTTTTTTTGTTGCACCAGTATTTCTGAAAGACTGGTATCCATTAATATCAAAAGAACAAAAGACAAAAATACACTGCACAACAAGCATGTTCCTACTTAAGAGACTGACATTAAATTTGGCAAGTGATGAATACACAGCACTGTTCAATACCTGCAGTATTTAGGAAAGATCCACATCCCAGATAGAACAAAAGAATTGATGATATGTAAACAGCAAGATAATTTTAGGATGTTCTGAAAGAAAGCTGATGCCACAAGTTCTGCCTAATACATACTGTGCAGGTCAGAATTAATAAAAAGCAAACCAACAAATAAGTCCTGGTGCTATTTTAGTGAATTTTGCAAAACACTTCTAATTCTTTGGAAGCAAAGGCTGTTTTTTAATACCACAGTTAATTAGAAAGATGACAGATTCATCGAGGGGTAAAGCACCCACACTGAAAATTAAGATTTCATTAGCACACTTATGGCTGGTTTTGTGGTGAGAAACCTTTTAACATCACATGGGGTGGAAGCTGCAGAAGGATTTCAAAAGCTTCTTGTGTCCATTTCCCTGAGCGGTTCAAGTCCCTTAATAAAGGATTAGATTATAATTTTAATGGCCTGTTCACAGGCTGTGTGGATCGGAGGCATTTATCTTGTCAAGTTAACAGTCATCTTCCTGTCAGCTGCCTTGCCTACAGCAAGACAAAAAAAAAAAAAAAAAAAAAAAAAAAAAAAGAGAAGAAATAAAGAAGAAAAAAGGAAAAAAGCAACCTCCCAACCCTGGGGAGAGGTCTCAGCACTGGGCAGTTTTTTTTGAGCAAAGATGCAACTTGGCTTTTCTGCCAGAGAGGAAATGCAGGGCAATTCTACAACGTGGCCCTTCCCCACACTCTGCTGCATCACGGGAGAAGGGAGGTGGCCAAGAGGAAAATGCAAAGGATCTCTGAGCTGCATTCACCCTTTTTATCTGCAGAAAGCAGACATGGTCATCAGCAGGAGCTGTGCTTTCAAATGACAAAACAGGAGCAAGCTTTGCCCCAGACCCAGCAGCGGGATGCTCTGTGCATCCCATCCTGTAGGCAAGGAAAACAAATGCTGATCCCTGGCCAGCGTGGGAGCCTGCCCTTGCCATCCCCCACCTGGGAAAGGCTCTCTCGGCATGGAGGAAGCTTTTCCTTTCAGCCCTCTGCCATTGAATCCGGGGAATGCAGCGAGCACGGAGCCAATCACAGCAGAACGGATGGTCTGTGGATGGATTAGCGAGGAGCAGGGCTGGGTTGCTAAGAGAGGCACCTTTTCATGGCAGGGAGGCCTGACACAACAATGCTGCTGCAGAGGAGCCTCACCCAGCATCCACACAGGCAGAAAGAGCTGCTGGAGGAACAAACTGCCCTTGGGAATGAGAAAATACAGCAGCAAAGGAGATAAAAGCTCAGCAAGTCACACAAAGACAACCTCCCCCCAAATAAAACCTCCTCTGCCCAGAACAAAAGTGCCAACCAGGGAGCTTTTGAAAGCTCTGTTTTTATCTCCTGCGCTTCTCGTTATCTTTAATTATTAAGTGTCACCGGGAAGCGGCTGCCGCCTCCTGAAAAGAGGGAAAACAAGAGTCCTGGTGCCTATTTCTGGGCTCTGCAACTCCTCCCCTACTTTAGAAAGTGCTTCAGCACCACTGCCTCCCCCTTTCTGCCTCTTTACTGCTTTCTTTTTTCCACATACGTGTGGCCGCAGCCGTTCCTAATAAACTTGAAATGATTTTTCGCGACGGAGGCTTCCAAAGGACTAAGGGGTTTTGTTTCAAATCATTCCCAGATCAGCTGCAGAGAGCCTGAGCAAGAGCAGGCACGGGCTGTCTCCAGCGTGCTCCTCCATGCAGCAGGAAGCAGGGATAAAAGCAGGCTGTGCTGTAACTGGAACAGGGCATCCGCAGTGCTGCAGGAACAGGGGGGCCGGGATGGGGACGAAGCACACGCCAGCGTTCAAGAAATGCAGAGTTGTTTCAGCAACAGGCATTCCACATCGATGGCTTTCTGTGAATTCCCCTGGATTAACCATATGCTTATGATTGAGGCATTTTATAGCGGTTAAAAAAAACCCCAAACCCACCACAAACTCCACATCCTAAATTTCGGGGAGCTTCCCCCCCTCCCCCCTCGTTTCCAAATCCTAAAGGCAGCACTGTGCACTTCATGCATTTCCTCGATGCATTTGAAGTTTTACACAGCCTTCTCTCTTGACATCATCTTTTTATAACACCAGAAGGGGGGATAATTGCAAACACCTCATGATGATTAGTGTTCTGCTTTGAACTTTAACGATAGGCCTTTGGGAGAGTTTTAAGAGTTTACTGAAAACATCTTAAAAACTTTAAAGCTGAAAAAAGCCTCTGTGCAATATTACTGATAACCCAAAGATGAGTATTAAATTCAAAATAATGTGTTTGAGAGCAGAACCTGGTTTACCAAAACAGCCAGAATGAATTAATCCCATTGCACCCCAGGATTTGTAAAAAACTGGATGAAATTCACACAAGCAGCCTTAGGTTTGCTACAGATATTTAGAAATCAGAGCAAACACAGCCCCTGCATCCCAGAAGCAATTTGTAGAACCATAAAGTGTCCTGTGTTAGGAGGGATCCACAGTTATCATCAAGTCCAACTTGTGGCTCTGCACAGGACACCCAACAATTGCCCCCTGTGCCTTGTGTTGTCCAAATGCTCCTGGAGCTCTGGTAGCCTTGGGGCTGTGACCATTCCCTGGGGAGCATGTTCAGTCCCCCAGCACCCTCTGGGGGAAGAATTTTCTCTTGATATCCAACCGAAACCTCCCTGACACAGCTCCAGCCATTCCCTCGGGTCCTGTCCCTGCTCACAGGGAGCAGAGATTGGAGCTGCCCCTGTGTTGCCCCTCAGGAGGAGCTGCAGCCCCTGATGAATCTCCCCTCAGTCTCCTCTTCTGCAGCTAAATAAACCAAATAGCCTCAACTATTCCTTAGCTTCCCCTCAAGGCCCTCCACCATCTCTCCTCTGGATGCTTTCTAACAGCTTTATTCCCACTGCTCCCTCCCGAGCTTTGTCTCTGGCAATGTTGCATCAGCCCCTCCTGCAGAGCAGAGCCCACGAGGACTTTTGGCCAAGCAGCTGCCTGGGAAAGGCTCCTGGCACCTCCTAAAGGGGTGCAGGGCACCAATTAGCTCCAGAAAAAAAGCAGGGATTAAACAATTCCTGCCTGGCCCCCCTGGAAGCTGCTCACCACAGCAGGACTGCAGCTTGTCTCAGAGCCAGCAAATATTGCACCGATACTTTTAAATCAGACTCCAGCCTGATTACAGCTTAGGGACAAAATTTTAACTAACCTTTAATTATGGGAAATTTTGAAGCCTCTGCTTTACTCTCTCAAGATCATTTGAGACAAAGACTAACAGATGCTGCCATTCCTAGAGGACTGCCTTTAATTTGTTTTTAACCCAAGCTAATGAATAGGTTTACTTATACTTTCACAAGAATTGTTTCAGACTGGGAAAACATTAAACATTTGGAAAAGAACAAAGGTTTCCTATTGTAAAGAAACCTGAATTTTGCTGTAAATAATAGGGATTTAGACTCCAACCAGATCAAAGTCATGCTTTGGATGGACATTATCCCCAGCAAAGGACAGAACACTACTGATGCAATGGTATTCTGCTCTTTCAAATCTCCATGTCAAGATTCAAATTCTGCTCTCCTCTTTACATCGACCAGGCTAACTCCTGTTTCCATGTCCCATATCAAAGCACAGATCACCCTGGAGAGGTTGGGTTGGTGTCTCTAAGCCCCTTATCAGGGAGGACTATGCACACAGGTACCCACCATCATTGCAGCTTCAAGCCAACAGTTGAGTTTTGTGTTATTCTTTGCACTGCAGCAAGGACAGTCACCCAGCTTCACCTCCCCAGCCTACCAGCACTCCATCATCCAAAGAAGAATTTAATAATAAAAAAGCAAGCAGTGCCAGCTCTGTGCTGACAGTGGGAAATTTTTCTTTGCCACAACATTGGTTAATTAGAGAGGTGGAAAGGGCCTGGTGACAGAGGCCTCTTTGTGCTGCTTATTTATTTATTTATTTGAAAGTACAGTACGAGCTTTTTTGAGAGGCCTCATGTTTTCTCTGGCTCTGAACAAATGCCATCCCCCAGCACAATCAGCAGCCTGACAGGAACAACGGATGCCAGCGCTGCCGAGCCCTGAATCGCATCCTGCTGGAAAAGGAGGGGGACAGGAATCCAAGAAACTCAGAACCAGGTGTCAGAAACGCTACAGGGGTGCCTGCAAGGAGGTGGCTGTGTGTAGTTTAACAGCTCACACTGACAGGATAATTCAGAGAATAAAAGCAGGCAAGTAGAAGACTTGGAAGCTTATGCTGGTTGTGACATTGCTGGGAGATCCCCAAGAGCCTGGAGGTAGAAGGAAGAGATTTAGAATGGCTTTTCCCTGGCTCTGTGCAGATGTAGGATTGTGCACATTCCCTGCAGACAGGGGGGCTGGGAACAGCCTGGAAAGCTGCAGAAACCCAAGACAAAGAACCACGAGGAAAAGGAAGCTCAGACGAGCCCTGGGAAGGGAGATCCACATTCACGTTTCCCTACGGCTTTGCTAAAATCAGGAAATTCAACTCCTGCTCCTTCCAACACTCCTGGATTTACAGTATTGAAGACCTCTATTTACAGAGACTGACTTGCTGCAGCAAGTTTTCCCAAGCCTGTCACAGATAGGAGCTGTATTAAATTACTACAGCTTCTCTCACAGCTCACTCCACGCTTCAGCTCTCTCTCTGCAGCTGCTGACAACAGCCCTGAGAATGGACCCAACTACAGCTCTGGACTTGCTAGTAGTTTTCTGATGGGTCCATCTCTGTGACAGGACTCACAGCCAGCAGTCAGATCATCTGGGCACCAAAACCACAATTCTCCTTGCTTCCAAATGCCAAGCCATGCCAAAACCATCTCAGCTGCAAAAGTAGGAGTGAGTCCCAATAATCCCAATGCTGGCTACTGTGCTTGGTGCCAGCACTTGCTCCCCACCAGCCTCGCTCTCCAGAACAGCACTCAGAGGTGATGCTCCAGCCAAAGCCCGCATCTCAAAGGAGCTGATTTTCCCTAAAGCAACACCAGCTCCTTCCAAGCTGTGGTCAGATGTGACTCTGTGCTGTTGCAGGATCCTGGTATGGCGTTTTAGCTGCCTTGGGAAAGATAAAAGTTGTGCTGGCAGGAACCATTTTCCCCCGGTGGAATGTGTGTATTGCAAAGCGCCGGCGTGGACAGTGATTGAAACTGGGGTGAGAACCATTCACAAAAATCCTTAGTTACTTACAGTGGGGTCTGTCCAGAGGGAGCACTTGGCACAGTCCTGGCAGGGTGCCCCAGGAGAGCGGGGGTGCTGGCAGAAGTGGTCGTAGCCGTTGATGGCAGCCCGGCAGAGGTAGCACATCTGGGCGCCGCAGCGGCACGACATGCGGTTACAGCCCTCCGACTTTATCAGGCCCGTCCCACACTTGTGGCATTTCCTAATCCGGGCAGCTGTCATCTTCTCCTCTCTGCAAGACCAGGGAGAATTAGCAAAGGGGTGTTTGCACTCACCAACCTGTGATAAAATTACTGTTACACTACCCCAGCAAGGCTTTAACCCCCTCCTCTTTGCTCCCATTCCAGCCCCAAGTCTGCTGCTGTTCCAAGCAGGTCTGGGCTCAGCTCCACTTGGAGCCAGCCCATGACAACTCGAGAACAAAATAAGTGAAAAAAAGTCAATCACTGGCTGCATGCTGCAGCCCTGATGCTGGTTTCCACGAGAGCCAAAGCACCAGCCTCTGGCTTGGGAGGAATTTGAGATGCAAGTTCAAGGGGCAAAGGGCACATGGATGCTCAAGCTGGCTGAAGGAAAATACATCTGAAGGAGATAAAGCTCAGGAAAAGCAAACATTTGGCTGTCACCTCTAGCTTTTATGTTTGCCTGTTGCTCTGGCTACAAAGTTGCCATGACCATGTATTTCTTTTCCAAGCCTGGCTGTTATGCTCCAGATTTACTTAGTGTTTGTTAAATTAAAATCAGTAACTGAAAAATAATCATGTTTCCCCGCAGAGGCATTATCTTTTCTCTAGGATTCCCTACATACATTTTGCAGAGGTTATTGGTTTAGGTTTAAGAAATGGGTTTTCATCTAACAGAGCACAAGTGGGAATCCAGGACAAAGCTCCCAAGGGACACACTCCAGCACAGGCTCAGCTCACAGCAAGACTATTTTGGCACAGAAATGAAGAAAGGCTTGGTCATTTAATTAAAAGACTTAAGAATATAAATTATCATCTGAGGGCCCATTTTCTGACCGCTGGAGATCACGTTACACTTTAATTCACAACCTAGAAGTGAAATTTGATGACAGCAGAGCAAAGCCAGTATGTCTTCATGGAGGGAAGCACAATTCTTCTGACACTGGGCAAGGATCATCCTTAGCCAGGCATCTCCACCCAGCTGCTTCAATGCATCTGCAAAGTTAACAAATGTTTGGGAGATGGCAGGGAGGTATTTTTGAGGAATACAGCAGTGAACCAGGCTACAGCACAGCCCCACAAACTACTCCATCAGCACAACCAGAGGAACAGGGAATGGTGAGGTGGGAACTTCCCAGCCTTGCAGACACCCAAGGCTCCCACAGAGTCATACCCAGCATGACCTGCACCCAGGCATGTGGAGATTGCTAAGAATAGGCACAAAACCCAACTTGAGAGTGACTTTCCTTGGAGCTGCAGCTGTTCTTCCCTCCACCACTCAACAGGATGCTGTCGATGCAGATTTTTTTTTTGGAAACTTTGAGCAAGGCAGGAAGTTTAGCCTGAACTCCAGCTGGGCTTCCCTTTCCTCATGCAGGGCTTCAAAAGGAAGTTTTTATTGTATTGGGCAGTTAGACTCATCTATCCACAGACACAATCTGCTGAAGGTTTTGAAATTGGTATTTTTTTCCTTATTAGGGACATGACAACTCATTCCTTTTCCTTCTCATCCCTCTTTCCTATAGGGAAAGGATCAGCAGAGAAAAAAAGTCATATCAAATCTGTAAAGATTTTCTTCTGAATTAGGGACTGTGGGATGAGCAAGCAAGAGTCATTCAAATCCCAGTGGTGGAGCTTTCCAACCTCTACTCATGCCAGACAGACTCTAAATCAGAGAGGAAGGGATTGGGCAATTGGGCAAGTCCCACTTGGCTGCACCAGACATTTAGCTCCATCGATGAAAATTCCCTTATTTCCTAAAGGCAGAGGATTTTGTAATTTACTGTAGATAAGAGAAAAATCAAACTGCAGAAGATTTTAGGGTAACAGGATTTACATCTGCATATTTCAAAATGTGACTGTACTTTGTAACAATTCCTACAAACTGGTTAGAAACAGGCAAAAGCTTCTGGAGGAAAACACATCCTCTCCCACAAAGCAGCAGCTGAGCAAACAGTGCAGTCTCCACTCCAGATTTTCAAAGGGTAGTAACGACCTACTGTGACTCAATGCACTCCTCTGCCTCCACACAGCACCTCCCTTCTCCCCCCAGCAATGCTAATGGGGGTTTCTCACCTCGGAGAAGGACCAGGTGCCAGCCTGCAGACACTGGGCCAGCCAGAGGAGCAGGCTGGGCTGGTGACAACTTTCCCACGTTCTCAAATTACCAGCTGGATCTGCTGCCAAGTATCTTTCACAGACAGAAATCCCATCCTGGCAGCTGTCTGACCCCTCAGCTCTGCCATCCCTGGGACCTTCCTGGGGGAGGCAGTGACAGCCAGGCCAGTAGAAACTGAGGGACAGTGTCCTGTGATTCCCAGTTCATCCTGTTTGCCCCTGGCTGTGGAGTTTCACTCACATGGATGTCCTGTATTTGATGTCATCCTTCTCAGCCAGCTGCTCACAGGTGAGATTCATGTGCTCCTTCCACAGCCCCTGGCATTTCCGACAGGTCTCCTGAGGAGGATAACAAACATTAAAGGAAGAAAAAACCAAACCCACCCAGCACACCACTAAAAGCTTTAAGAACTGTAAAAATTCCCCTATCAAGCTGCAGGTTCTCAGGTGAGGGTGGGGTTGGGTAGGATGGTACAGTGGGCTGCAGGTTTGTCCTCCATAGGAGACCAAAAGCCACGGATAATGGGAGGCAAAGGTGTTTCCAAGGCACAAGAAAATAGATATAAAATGAATCCACAAACCTTAATCACCTAAAACTCATGGGACAGCTACCAGGCTCACCAGTCACAACCCAGAAGAGATTGCAGAGGTAAAAAACGTGGTGCCAAAGGACATCAGGTGCATCTGTTTCCTGACCAAAATCCTTTACCTTCATATAAAGGGCTTCTAATTGCACCATTGATGGAAATTCTGCAGTTAGATCAAAATCTCAGTTTCAACAGGCACACAAGCAAACATATATATAGTTTTGCAAAACCTCACAAAATAAATGATTAAACAGCTGAAAACCACAGAATGTGGACAACATCTATAAAATCAAGGTGGAATATGAACAAATATTCACAAACAACCAGAATAGCTGGATTAAACTTAGAGCAAGTGGCTGAACTCTCTTGTTGCAAATTCTTTAGCAACAGAATTGCTAAAAAGGCTCTAATCCAGGACTGGTAAAGTTGCATGGAGCAGGATTGTTGTGGAGGCACAATTAGGAAGGGACCTGGACCAACACTGGGGACAGAGCTGATTTTTTCAGTTGGCTGGCCAAAGAAAACAATTTTGTTTTGGGTCAAACAAGAGATTTTCCTTTAATTTGAGGAAGATTAAAAAACATCCAGATCAGACTTGAAAAAAAATACATGTTTTATGATCCCACTGTTTCATCTTCAGGATGGCTGGGGCTTGGACTCTTAGATCCAACCTTCCCCATCTGGCTGTGCAGCATCCTTTTCCCCTGCACACCAGAAAAGGTCCCAGAAGAGCTTTGCCCAGCCCTGGTCACACTATCAACAAAATACGACCACTGCAGAGACAGATCTTACTCGATTGCATTTACCTTCATTTTATTTTAATGAAGAAATTGGATGTTTATGTGAGATATGAAAGAAGAAAATGCTTCAAGACACACGTAGGCAGCAACACTCTTTTGATTGTGAATCAGACAAACAGGATGAAGGCCAAAGCTTCCAAGGAAGCCACCCTGGGAGGGGGGGATGCAAAATGGGGCCTTGTTTGTATCTGTGCTCGCTGGGAGATGCCCAACTGCTCGTGCTTTCATCTGGAGAATGAAAGGCTCCTGCTCCTGGCTGCTGAGCTGGACGTGTTTGCAAACAGCAGGGTGAGGGCTGCAGCGAGCCTGTGACTGCATCCCAAAACCCAGCAGAGCATTTTGTGATCACTCACCTTGCAAATGCACCCCTTGGCAGGCAGGCACTGGTTTTAAGGGGCAGTAAATGCCTCAGGTTCTATTGATTCTCATGAATCATTCATCACACCCTGTGTTTTCCTGCTAAAGCTGTTAAAACAGGCACCATTTTGTGTGCATTTTTGGCAGGCCACATCTGGCTGTTGGCGACACAGGAGGATCAGACTTGGAGCTGTTCACATACCTCCATGAGGACCCACCTTCCCCTCTATTCCCAACACCTGGCCACATGCCATTCCGAGATCAAAAGTGCCTTAGGTTGTTTTTTTTTTTCATGTATACCAAGGGTTAAAAAGAGCCTTTGGAGCCCTGTTACACAGAACTGCTTCCACATGCCAGCAACAGAGACTTAACAGCTTTTTGCCAGGAGGGCTGGCACATTTTCCAGCCAGGAGCCTGCTATTCCCAATTACTTAACTCCAGGAGCCTCCTCTGCTGCCCAAACGATGCCCCTCTGAAGCAGATGGTGCCACTTAGAACCTCATCCCAAGTAATTTCCTTCTGCTCCCGCCTCCAGCCTGGTGGCTATTGGAAACAACGCTCTCCCTGGAGCCCAGGCTGCTGTTATTTGCCAAACAGTTGTCTCCTGCACTCAGGAAAAGGGATTTCTGTGCAGGCAAGGAGAAAGGGAAGAGGCATGGCCATGCAGATTCCTGGGATGGCACCACAGGAGGCATCCTGTTCCCCGTGTGACGGTGGCACAGCGGGTGCCACCACAGCTGTGCACACTTCTGGGATCCCTCCCAAGTTGTGCTGTCCTCAAGGAGCTGCAAACCCACAGGCAGCTGGGCCTGTGCCAGTGCACCCCATGAAGGGGACAGTCCTGTGGCTTCCTGCCTCCCGAGTGTCACCTGGTGCTGCCTCTGACTGAGCCACGTCCTCTCTGCGGGAGGCTTGGGAATGTGCACCACACACGTGCCATTAGCAGAACCTGCTGTGATTTTCCCCCTTATTCTACCCAAAAACAATGGCACATTGTTAGATCCCTTCACACAGAACTGGGGAGGTAGCCCATTCAGACAACAGCTACTGCTCTGGTACCACAACTGAGATCACAGCCCTTGCCCAAGAGAAGTGACTTTTTCAAATTTCTACTGAGTCAAACCCAACCCACTTGGCTGATGAGGGCTTTGCACATCTTGCACAATGACAATTCTGAACTTTACAAATTCCACAAAGGGTTCTTCTACTTCAGAACCAACCCTTTGATAATGAAGATACTCTCCCATTACCATATTAACCTCAACAAGCAATGGAACAGCTGATTTTTTGCAACCAACCTAGATTATTTCCATGAGAAGAGCAGCACAAGGCACCAAGACTGCTACAGCAATATAAGGCACCACCTAAAACCACAAAGAGGAAACAAGTCCTTCCCAGTCCTGAAATCATCTACTCCAAGTGTAGTGGCCAAAAAGCAACTCAGTCCACCAAAATAAAGATCCTTCCCAAGTTCTTCAGTATAGCAATGTACCCCCTGTTGACAGAGTGACTAAATTATTCTTTGTCTGCTTAAAAAGGCAAAAGGCACAGAAGTTTGGTACAAAGACACCTCATAGGACCATTTGGACTTCACCTCAGACCTGGGGATGGCCAATTGGACAGCGGCCAAGAAGTCCTGCCAAGGTAATTCACTAAAAAAAGAAGAGAACAAAGGAAATACTGGCTTTTGTGGGGTGTTTTAGCAGGAGCAAGAACCTCTTGCCACTGGCTCATTTTTTCTTGGTAAGAGCTTTGTTGTTTTGTCTTTTATTAAACCTTTTCCTGTTTCCAACACTACCTCAGAAGCCATCCTGTTAATTACATGCCATTCAGGGTAGCTGGGCTATCTCAGGTTCTCTGAGAGCTCCTAAGACCTGGCTTGAGGAGAAACCTTTCAGCACTTGGTCCCTTAGCAAACGCTGCTGTACTCAGGTAGGGGCACTTTTGCTTTGGCTGTAACAGCACTGCAGCTGAGTGCCTCATTTCTGGGCACTGTGAATTCCATGTTTTTTCCTGCTTTCTCCCAGCCCACTCCTCCTCACAGGCAGGTACAGCTAAGGCAGCTCACGCTTCAGGTGCTGAAGAAGTCTTGGCATTAGGAAAGGGCTCCAAACCAGGCACAGAGACAGGAGATCATTAAGAATCTGCTGCCTGTTACATCTGCCCCAGCTTGGCAGGCAGCCTGGGACAGTCCATGACTCTGCTCTGGCCCAGGGAGGATGTGATGGAGAGGGTGTTTAATTGCACCCTGTAATCTCCTCACTGTACATCTGTTAGAGGCAGCAGCTCTGCTTCCTCCCGCTGCCCGCCAGGAAGCAGCCAGGATTAACACAAACATGTTTGGGTTCAGGAGGATCCTTTGTTCCCAGGGTCAGTGGTGGATGTGCAGCTTTCTGTGCTCAGGGCCAGCCTGGCCAAGGGTGGACACTTTGCTTTTAGTGTGGGCAGCACAATCCCTCAACACCCTAGTTAATTGTCCCAGCACCTAATGAAGGTGGCAGGGAATGTTTTAGATTAATTCACCACCTTCCTCAGCACTTCTGCTGGTACTTCCAATGGATGCTACAGTTTTAAACACAGCCTAGACTTTTTTCCCCCACTCTATCATCAACTAAAAATATCTCTCTAAAGTCCATCCCACTCATCGTGGGGGGGGGCAAAAATCCCAAGTAATCAACTTTTCCTTGCCAGTCTCCACATTCTCTTGGCCACAGTCAGTAACAGAAATCACTTTTCCCGACTGCAACCTAAACAAATACCACATGGACAAAAACATCAGATGATCTGCACAGATCCCAGCCCGACTGCCCACGGCATTCCCGCGTGCCCGCTCGTGCCATAGGAGTTTACACGGAGCCATTTACTGACTGAGCAGAACGCAGAGAGGGTGGGGGAATCTCGATTTAAACAGCAACAGGCACAGCCCCGGCTGTCGTCACTGCCCTCCGCTGCCAGCCGTGGCTCTGAGCTCCCCCCAGCTCTCCACACGCTGGGTAATTAAATCCTTGTGCGCCACCATTCCCTGCATGGCTCCGGGGCCTCTGCCCATGGCACCCGTGGGATGTTGGCCATAGGGAGGTGAGGATGGAGCCCCAGTGATGGATTTGCTGCTTCCTCCTGCTCTCAGGACGTGCAATAGCACAGGCTGACCCCAAACTGGCAGATGGGAATGCAAGTGCCTCAGAACAGCACCTCAGGGCCAGTCCGTACTGTGCTGCTTTAATTAAAGAGCTGCAATTCCCAGCCAGATGAGTTAATGGGAAAGCAAAGAACCGCAGAGTCTTCCTCCCCACAGTTTCACTGTCCATAAAGCTGCACTGACCTTAACTAAAAATTGATGCAGAAGTGGCTAAATGAATACAACCTTTAAGCATGGATAAGCTCTCATGAACACAGTCCTTCAGGGCTGTTTCTGGGATTTCCTATGTGTTAAGCTGGGATAAAGAGGCTATAATCCAGCCCAAGACAATCCATTTGGGTAAGAGACCCCTCTTTAGAGATGTACAGCCAGCACAGGGAGGAGGGGTGACCCCAGCTCCACAGACCCCTGACTGCCAGTGCAGGGGAAGCTCCTTCCAGCATGAATTGCTGTGGC